GAAAATATAAAAGAAGGAAGTTGAGACATTTGAAAGAGGTGCTTGAAAGTTTTGAAAAGTGTTGGAAAGGGGGAGTTTTTGAGAGAGTTTTGAAGAGATTTTCAAGCACCACAAAAATTTACTTTATCCTTTTTGTTTTTAGTTTTATTTTGAGAGTTAAGAGTGTTGTAAGAAAGAAGAGATTAAAATGAACTTCAAGAGTTTTGTTGAGGATTTAAGATAAGTTTTTATCTTTTTTTTTGAACTACTTTTGGTTTTAATTGAGACTTTTTGAGTTAGTTTGACAATGATTTCTACTTTTAAACTAAAGTGCACTTTGTTTTCTCCATGAATTCTGAGGAGTTTTTTTTATCTTTCTCCTTAAAATGATAAGTAATAAAAGTGTTGGATGGAAGTTGTGGAGAGTATTAATCTTTAATGTTGGAAGAAGTTGTGATGATTTAAATCCATAAACTTCATTTACTTCTTAATTCGGTCTATCGAGATGTTAAAATTTGTTGTAAGAAGATGTAACAACTGGGCTGATATTGTCTCAGTCAACAATTGGAAAGAATCACATGAGGTTGTATGAATAAAAATGTAATTCATATGATTTAGTGCTAATAAATAGAGAAATAATTATTGAAGGGTGTAGAGTTAGAGGACTTTAAAAGGACTAAAATGACAGGTTAAAGCCCCCAACTTAGTTTATTATTTTAGGTTCTGATACGAGATGTTAGCCCCTAAGTGGAGGGAATCGAGGAAACTCTAAAGTGAGAGCTAGTATCTTCCCTGCTTAGCCGGTCTCCAGAACTATTCAAACTTTAGATTAACCAATGTTCTTTATAGCATCTCTAGTAAGGGTAAATAATATAATTGCTCCTATTTAACACAACACAATTTACATACTTCCACAACAGAATTCCTATGCTTAGAACTGATTCATGATAAGGAAAAATATATTTTCAAATTCAGTGCTTTTCTTTTACATAAACTCAAGTTATTTTTTTAAATTGTTACTTGTTTTGTCAAAATATCAAAAATATCAAAAATATTTGAATTTTAATTACTGCGAATACATCTCTAGTTTAATTAATTGTCTTTTTTAAATAGAAAATTTGCTATTCAATAGAGCATATTACATAATTTCCTTGTGGGTTCGATATTCAGGTCTTAATCAAAAAGTCCTATATTATTTGATAACTATACGTATACTTGCGTAGTATCCTAATATATATATATATATATAAATTGAAAAGTTTAATTCTTATTTTTTTTCAGAATCAAGTTTTGACTCTGTTGCAAAGTAAGGAAACATAAATGAAAATATAATTAGAGACATTATTATACTGTTGCATATAAGCAATTTTGGGATCACTTATGCTCCGAGCAGAGGCACTTAAGTGCAAAGTTTCGGCCCCCATGGCTCCGGTGGGCCTCGATTCGACCCGATTTGCTCCGTTTTAGTCCATTTTTTTTTTTGCTCCAATCACTCCAAATTCTTCAATTTGATGTACCTATAACTAAAAATACAAGAAAACATACATTTAAAGTGCAATATCATCATAAAATATAACATGATAATTAGTACATTTTTAGGCACATCAGTCGTTCATAAGGCAGAATAGCTATAAAGATTTTTCCGTCCTACGAACCTCCCATGATCTTGTAGAAAGGGCTTACTATAAAGATTTTCCCATTTTTCAAGATTGAAGTATCCAAAACCTTCCAAGGAAGGTTAGAAGTGCCAAAAACTTGGGAAAGTTATGATTCCGACCCACCTTGGTATAGATCTAAGGCTCATAAGGGAATATCTCAAATTTGCTAGGAAGGTGTCTAACGAAAGCTTCTTAACCTAAGGCTTCCTCTTGGAAATCAACAACCAATCCAAACTTGTGTTGCCATGTCGACTAGCGTTAGCCAATCAAATTGCCAAGTGTGACCTATTGAACCCACAATACCTAACCAAAATCTAATCCTAGGGTTAGATAAGAAAGAAAACATGAAAGATTTTTAAAATCTCAACACCGTGAAAGTTACAGATGTGTTTCTTCTCATAGGATGAAGCTTTACCGGTGGTAAGAGAGATGGCGATGTTCTAGTGAAGCTCTAGCAAGATTTGCTCCACTCCTCTAACAAACAAAGATTCTCTTTTAGAAGTAGAGTTCGGCGAGATTACATAGACATTTTGAGCTTCAGAGAAGTTTCTGGTGGTGCTCCTGCGATCCTTCCCCGAGCTAAGATGAAGCTATGCTTTAGTGTAGGAGAGTACACACTTTTCTCCCTTGCTAGCCAAGCTCTTTCTCAAAAATATCTCCTCATACATCCATGAAAAATGATGGAGGAAGAATGAAGGAGACGAAGAAGAAGAAGTTGAAGAAGAAGGAGAGGGGAAAAAACAAAGAGTCCCCCCCCCCCCCCCTCTGCTTGAGCTCCTCTCCAATTTTTTTCTTACCAAATCTCCTATATAGCTCTTCACCACCAAGAGGAGGAAGAAGTAGCCCTCTAAAACTCTCAAGCTCTCATCACCAACCAAAAAAATCCAAATGAAATAGTGAGACCTTAAATGAGGTGGAGAGGTTAAGTTAAACTAGCCTCCCTATGCAAATCCAAAAAAATGCCCCCTTAATTAAGCCAAAAATGGCTAATGAGGGGTATTTAAGGCATGCCAAATGAGGTTAATCCCATTGATTCAACACCCCTATGCATATATCCTCAAGCCGAAGGAGATCTCAGTCATCCCGGCTAATTGGGAGGTACACCAATGTCAAATCAGTGTCTGAAACAAGCTTTTTTGTGATCCGAAAATGAATCGACGCCTAGGCATCGCAATCCTGGCACTTAGGCGCCAGGCCTACTTTATGTGGGCTTGGTTTTAAACATATAGGAAACTTCATATGACTGAAATGTAGTCCCATAAATTCAAAATTGATTATTTTGATCAACCATTCACTAGGGAAACCACCGTCAATAGTCTCCTTAAGCCACGAAACGGGTAGAGCATCCCGAACATTAACTTTCTAGCAGTGCGCGTAGGAGGATTCTATGACTTCCCTTTTCCACGGGAGTTCTAGACGAACTTACGATGACTTCTAAACAACAGAATGGACACAAAATATGTTTCGTGTCCTAAATGAGCCCCTCTGATGGTGAGTTCTCTTGATTAAGGCTAAATCACTGCCAACCCTAGCTCCTTGCCTCAAACAAGTGCTAGAGAGTTCTAGATGGGTGTATTAAGCAACAGAAAGCTGCGAATATATCATAAACTATCTCGCATCGTGCATGTGGACACCCTACAATCGTTACATCAAAAGTGATGCCGACACTCATCACCGAGGTTAATTTCTTCGTATTCGTCGCTGACAACCTCTAGATTGAGCTCTTCATCGATTGCATCAAGTGGGAAACATAAACCTGTCAATCCTGTTTCTTGATGAGCGGGTTCAATGTTAATATGAATATTAATGGTTGCTCTTGGTTTAGTCGAAATGAAAACCTCCAAGTCAATGATATCTCTTGCTATATGTGGATATCAAAGATAGTTAACCTAACTCGCCTGTCATGTAGAATGAAAAAACCTAATAAAATATCTACATTCACTTTTTTGGTCTTTATTAAACTATCTACACCGAGCACCAATATATCTATAGTGTCTTCCAATAGAACATTCACTTTTTCTTCATTTTGCTTTACTCTTGTTAATGTTTCTTTTCCCTATCAATTTTCACTATGTGTTTTGACTTACCATATTATTAGAATCCACTTGGGCGATCACATAACTTGGTTCTTTTTGTGAGAATTTGATTTATTTTTCCTTTATTTATTTCCCTAATTTTGAAAGATGTTTATATTTACAATATTTATATAAAATTTCATGAAATTTTCTATATCTTATATCATATAATGCACTCATTGAGAATAACATCTCTAACACCACTAAGCTTTATATAAGACCATCCACATGAACTACTTTTTGAAGTAATGACTCCATCCTAGCCTTTAAAAATTGATGTGAGCTTTCTTAATGCATGGATCATATTATTAAACTTTATTTTCAAAAAAAAGTTTAATTACCTTATGATATATTTAAATTCATTGATCACCAATATTTTTTCTAACTTTTTGAAATTTAAATGTTATGCATTTTATATAGCTTATTAACAACATTTTAGAAATGTTAGAGAGCACTTTTATAATGATCACGATATTTGTCATGTTAAGAATCTTGAAGGTAATGCTCATGCTAAGTGTTCAGTGACCGACATTAAAGCTTATTTATTAATCAACTTTCATTATTTCTAATCAATTATTTGTAATATTAGTCTCTCGAATGATTCATAGAGCTTTTTATTTTACACATAGTCCCTTATAAGCATCTTCTATTGCCTTTAATCCCAACTATTAAATTTATCTATTCGATTTCCTCATCCTTCATTCTAAAAACTAAAAATTTTTCAGACCAAAACTTTAATGTCAACTGTAATGATAAAAAAAAAACTACAATAAATATTAATTAAGGATGAGAGAATAAATAAAAGAGGTATCATAAATAGAGAAAACAAATTTATGTCATTCAAAAAGACCCATCATGTTCAACACTACTAAAAGATTAAATATTATAGTGGACTTCAAAATATTATGTATTTATCTTCATATAAAATAAAAAAATAAGGATATTGTTATGGATTGCTAAAGCCAATGATCTAGAGGAGGAAGGGCGAAGTAATATTGTAGAGCGGCAAATGTCAAATTATCTTTTACAAATAAATAAAAAATTTAAATTTAAAAGGGTCAATCGCCTCTCTCGAACCTGCTACAAACAAATTAACGCGGAGCGGCCTCTCGGCCGAGAATTGCAACCCGAACCAGAAGAAATATTTGCGTACGTAAGACATTCGTCTGATAGGTTATAAAGAAGATATTGAGATTTACATTCTCTTCATTTTTACTATAATCTCTTAATAACTTATGTGTAACTTATAAAAATGTACTGGTTAGAACTAGTTTGCCTAAGGGTAGTACGCAAATATTTCTCCCGAACGAGACCCATCATTGCCAACTGATTCTGCTAGGGTTTCCCTGAAGTGAGAGGGAGCGCAGGGAGTATCCGGAGCAAAGTAGATGGAAGCTGACGACGAGGCAGCTCCGGCGCCGATGAGCGATGAGGCCATGATGCCCAACGGTATTGAAGAACTTGAGGAGGAGCAGCTCCAACCGAGGAGCGGCGGAAAGTCCGCGATCAGCGGCGAACAGATGGACATCGAGTCTTATATATCTCTCTATAGTGGAAGGACGAAGATTTTTAGGCTTCTTTTTATCGCGGAACAGTGTGGGAACCAGAGCATGCAGCTGGAGGCTCTCCGCATGGCCAATGACGAAGTCAGAAAGGGTGAAGACTCCCATCTTTACCGGCAGGTGGCGCAGAAGATCGGTGCAGCATTAGGACCGCACTACGAATTCGATCAGTCGTGGGCTGACGCTATTGACCGCCGCGCCGAGCAGCGAAAAGAGAAGCTTGAGAATGAGCTCAATGGTTATAGGGTTCGTGTTTTTCCAGTTTTTCTGACTGATTTTTATTTGTTTTTCTAGCATTTTTTTCTATCCGCCCTGAAAGTTGTTTTAGAAATTATAATTGATAGCTGTTGGTGCTGATTGTTATTTTATTGTTTGGGCAATTACATACATAGAATCGATACACTGCTAATTACCATACATTTTTAAAAGGGGGCATAGGACAAACTGCAATTGCTGGTCAAGCTGTGTGAGAAAGAATAGTTTGTTGTCGCATTTCAAATTATTTTTTTTGAAGTAATGTTTGAGGTGCTGGCAGTGGTGCTTTCGGATGTTTCTGAGGTTTATTGTTTTCCAATGTTGGAAAAATTAGTTGCCTGGCCATTGGTTGGTTTGAGAAGAATCAAGAGATAATTCTAAAGTTATCATTTATAATTCGTTTGTGCCATTCTGAATCAGCTTATTTATTCTAATCGGATTGAATCTTTAATTTTTTCCAATAAACTTAGGTTTTTTTTTGGGTAGAAATTTTCATGATGCTAGAAATAATAGGTCATGCTTGGAAAAGCGGTTTTGGGAAATCGGGAAAGGACCTTGTTTTAGAACTTGTGAAACTTCACTCCATATAAAAAGGATATTTTAAAAATTTTTCTTTCTAAATTTGATAGCCGCATGTCAAAATTCTACTATAGGAAAATATTTGATGTGAGATTTATAAGTTCTACTTGGATCATGTTCTAGTAAGAAGTGCAATTTAGGTAGTGTAACAAGTAGAAAGTTGTTGTTATTGCTTCTATTATTGACTGCAGTTCATGAGCAGCAATATGAGCGTAGGCATCAGCTTTATGAGTCCTGTGTTGTTCCTTTGGAAGTGGAAACATATTATAAAAATATTTTTTTCCTAGGTGATCTTTGAGCAATTTCTAAATACCATTGTTTGCTTGCTCACATATCGTATGATATGTGTAGATATAATATGACATAATCTACTAATTTTTGATCTCATAGGTGTGGGCTTATATTATTTTTCAAACCCATAAATTCCTTAATGCTAGGTTGTTGAGTGCTTAACTGCTTTAGGGATGATTTCTGTGCAATAAAAGCTTGATTATAACATGTGACTTGCATTTAAATGTTGTTTACTGAAGGATTGTAAATGTCAGTCCTTTATTAAGGTGGGAGTTGAAAAAATGTTTTGTTTTCATAATTTCCTAGAAATTCCAGATTTTACTTTCCGTGCATACTGTCAGCTTTTTTGAAGTTGACATACACCCACCTCTCCAGCCACCTCATGCAGGCTTTGTATCAACCAACTTTTTTTAGGAGCCTTTTCTTTTCTATATCTGCAAAATTCATTGCATAATAAATGCAATTGCAAAATATATGTTTTAAATTTTTGTAATATTTGTATTTATTTATCATCTTGTCCAGCAGCTCTAAAACCAATAGACAGCAGCTTCTTACCTTTATTATCAACAAATTTTTTTCTCCAGACAAATTTGATTAAAGAAAGCATCAGAATGGGCTACAATGATTTTGGAGATTTCTATTATGCTCATGGTCAAATTGGTGATGCATTTAAGAATTATGTTCGAACTCGTGACTATTGTACTACTTCAAAGCATATAATTCAAATGTGTTTAAATGTGATACTTGCTAGTATTGAGCTGGGCCAGTTCATGCATGTTTCCAACTATGTATCTAAAGCCGAGCAAACACCTGATTCACTGGATCCGATCACTGTTGCAAAATTACGATGTGCTGCTGGATTAGCTCACTTGGAAGCTAAGAAGTACAAGCTTGCTGCTCGCAAGGTCAGTCTAGTGTGATCTTCTCATGCCTGATTTCTACTATATTCTTGTGTGATTCATGTAGTCAGTGTTTTGTGTTCAGTAATTGTTGTGGTTATAGAGCTTAGCTTGTGCTTGAGTTGCTTAAATATTGGGTTGCAGTACTATTTCTTGGTTTTATTTTGTCTTCCAACTCAGTTTGAGCTGTAAAATGTTAGGCATTGATAAAAAGTTAATTGCTAGAAATTTTACTAGTTGTGATAGAATCTGCAGAATTTTGAATCATTGATAGAAGATGGGAATTGTTAGTCCATTGTATTTGTATGTGTTTGCACTTCTCTTAAATCCTAAATATTTTTCAATAACCCTTATATTGCAAAAAATAAGAATATAAGTGGTGGGTTATATGCATGCATTAAAAAATTGACTAATAATGCCACTGAAGAAGTGAAAATTAACTCTATGTTGAGTGGATATATTAGAGGTGAGGGATTGTTTGGTATTTCGTTTATTGCAAGACATGCTCAAGCACCAATTAATATCATTTTACTAAAATTATAGTTAGTATCGAACAATATTTTAAAATCAGTGTGACGTTCTCTTTGCTTCACTGAAGCGCGCTTCGAAGCGTTGAAGTCGATGTGTAGGTTTTTTATGTAATTTTTAATTTTTTAATTATTGTAGCAAACTATTAGAATAGTTTGAACTTTTAATGTACAAGTTCAACCTCAATTTTTGCTTTTAAGTTAAATATTGTATCACATTCTTTTCTATTTTATTTTAACTTTAATGTCATACTTTATATTTTATAATTGTTAATGAAAATTAATAGTTTTATATAATCTATTAACAATTTGGTTAATAAAAGCGTCACTTCGCTATGCGCTTTGCACTTTGAAGCAAAAATAAAATCTTGCGCATCGCATTGTGCTTTGCGTTTTGATAACACTAGTATTGAATATTATTTTGATATTTAAATAATTATGAAAATTGTTAAGTACTCGTAGCTTATTTTTAGCTAGCGTATGTTTGATGAGCTTCATTTTTTTTTAAGCTTTTGTGATTAAATTGCTTAGCCTTAGCCCTAGTTTATCTAGATGTGAATGTAATTAGAGTGTATTTGAATATGTAAGTACAAAAGAAATTGTTTATTAACTGTTATCGTAAAATTTAATAATTTAATAATATTAATAATCATTTTTTATAGCTTTATGATAAAAGAAGAAACAAGATGAATTATATTCACCTCAAAGATTTAGTTTATATGAAATATAATAGGGTTTGGATTTGAGGTTACAACAATCATGACATTTTTATCTCTTTTTTATATAATATAAATGATGCTAATGAGTGCGTTCTAAAAAAATGGATGATGAGCTTGATGAAGATAATGAATTGGTAACTGGTGAGGAGGATATGATATGAATTATTTTTTCAAAAGACAATGGCATTTATAAAATAAACTACTATATTTGAGTGTAATCTAAATGCTGACAGGATATCATTCATGCTTAACATGTCCAATTGAACATGGGTATGATGAGTTTGACAGAGAAACTGATGAAAGGAATGAGATTTTTTAATCTTATAATGTTGATATTCAAGATGACTAGTATAACTTTTTTAGAAAACATTAGACTTGAGAATGAGATTTTTTAATCTTATAATGTTGATCTTCAAGATGACTAGTATAACTTTTTTAGAAAACATTAGACTTGAGAAATAACTTTGTAATATTTCGATTTTGAAGTTGTTTTGGCATTGATCACTTGATCTTAAGCATGGTTTTGGCTTTTTTTATTATCATGGTTGTTTATTCATCAATCAAATAGTATTTAATATTTAGTTTTGTTTTTACTTATAATGCTTTATTATTTCTCTTATATTTATAACTGCACACATTGTGTCATGATTATGCGTGATGAATCTACAGTGACTTGTGTTTTGTGCACTATTCGTCATTGATGCGCATGAGTGATTTATTTGTTTCCAATCAGTTGAATCCATGAACCATAATCAATTTTATTAAAAATTTAAATGTTTACCTTTAACTCTCTATCAAATGCTCCTATAGTATGGCAACAATTCTTTATCGACCAGTGTTTTATATAAAATGAATTCAAGGTACTTATCACACCCAATCAAATTTAATATTTTAGCAATATAATCTAATTATCATGAAAATCACTTTCATAATTTGATCCATAAGGCTTTCAAAATTATTTGAAAGGGTTAATTTGGATTTTTTTTTGAAAATGATTAATTAGTAATTAAGTGAAAGTTTGCAAAATATCAATTTAAAGAATTCAAATTAGATGCCGGTAAGAGAGAATAGATGAAATTAGTTGTAGAAAATCAAGAAAAGTAAGAAAAATCCACTCCACCCATTTCTTTTCTTATTCAAGTAGTTATCTATTCTTAAGGGGAAATATATTTCTAGTTTATGTGAATTTAAATATTTATTTTTAATTTTTTTGGATTATTATTAGTACAGATCAAATTTGTAATCCAAATTCAATTGGCATTGGGTAGAAGTATACTTTCTTCTGAAAACGTCCCCTTTCAATTACCAACGCTTATATCTCTCTTTTCTGATTATTGTTATCCTTAGCACTATTGTCAGCGTTCCTTTCTCGGAAAAACATTGATTTCTAACACCTATATTTGCAGTCTTGGTTGGAAGACTAGGCTTAATACTATCCAACGTCCAAAATTCAGTTATCTAAGTTGGTTTCATAAGAGTTCTCTAGTAATTTTATTGATGAGGCAGTCTATTAAGCTGTTCTACTAGATGTATGTCATGTGATGATGGATAATTTATATTTGTGTGATAGTGCATGTAAAAGGAAAAAAACATCTATGAGGTAGTGGCTTTTTTTCTACCTTCGAAGATGATGGAGAAGCCACCATACTAATGGATCATAATAAGGGTTCGATGGCTCTCTTCCTAATGATAAATACATGAGTTCATCTTAAATGTTGATCTGCTCCAATGAACGAGAATGAACTATCTCAACCTATTCAAAAGCCATTTGCCTACTCAAAAGCCCATGGCTGCAAGAGAGAAAAAAGAAGAGGTCCAAGAGGGGAAAATATTTTCATTTTGAAGATCAGATTGAATTAAAAAGGGCATTTATAATATAAAAGTTCTTAATAATATCTCCGTATTAACTTGAAATGATTGATTTGAAAAAATACATTGTGTGAAGACATACATCTAGTAGAATCTTGGATTATCTATGTTGGTTTCATAAGAGTTCTCTGAAAATTTTATTGATGAGGTATTCTATTAAGCTATTCTACTAGATGTATGTTATGTGATGATGGATAGTTCATATTTGTGTGATGGTGCTTGTAAAAGCTGAGAACATGTATAATGTCGAGGTATTTTTTTCCACCTTTAAAGGAGATGAAGAGGCCATTATACTAAGGGATTATAATAAGGATTCAATGGCACTACACATAAATATTCCATTTTCTCTTGGAGAGAGGAGAGAAAAAATAAAAAAATGGAGACAATCAAGGAAACTAATCTCAATTCTCTTCACCTATTTCTCCTCCTTATATTAAAGGTTGAATCCATAAGAAGAAATCTTGGAAAACTACTTTAATTGATTGATTTTATGTTCTATTTTATTTTGAATTTGAATAAATTTCTCAATTTGTTTTTGGATCTTCATAATAAGATCAAATTGGTCATCTGAATTGAACTGGAATTGAATGGAACTATTGTTTCTCTTCTCTCAACTTCCTATTCTTAGTGTCCTCTCTCTCACCTTCTCAGTTGTTGTTGTCCTAACACTATTGGTGGCCTCCCTTGCTTGAAAAGCACTGGTTTATAACAGGGATAGTTGTAGGAATCAAAATTGAATCTGTTGATCCTCTTTCCGGGTCTCCAAAACTTTTTTGCCTAGTTTCTCATATAATCAGCTGCTGGAAGTCTGTCCAACACATAGTTGCTGCTGTCTTTTTTTTTTTCGTAACACAAAAATTTGAATTCATTGTTTAATGAAGAAAACCATGAGGAAACCATTATCCCTCAATACATTACATGGAAAATCTAAATCTCATCATATAGATAATTTTTACTGATTTAATAACCCTTCCATACCCAATTCCAATTCATAACTACATTTCATCTTCTCAGTCTTTGTTTTATTAATTCAAAGCTTTTTAATCTTCTAAAAATATTTCTTCATTTTATTAGCTTTTCAATAACCTCAAAAGTGGTTTCATATGTCAAATAACATAATTGTCAACAAATAGCATATATCAAGTTATCACTCATTTTATAGTTTTTATGACCATCTCCGTAACTAACTCAAAATGTCAATACAAGATTAATGTCAATAGATGATGTAATTCTAAATTTTTGTTTCTTTACTAATTTTAATCATTCATTGTTACACTACACATAATTTGCAATTTCATTTTACATAAAATTTTTTCTTTGTTATCAACCGATTTTATTCTGTGTATTTGATTATATATATTTTCATTATCACTATATCTTCTAGGCCCAATTTATGGCTTTTTCTCTGTGCCATTCTAATTTTTTATGCTTTTATTCCCCATCACATTGGATAATTTAGCAGTATAACACAATTTTCTCATAGTACAATCCTGAACTCGTTATTAATTTTTTTTTCCACTCATTAGCATTTCATCTAGTCTTTAAAAGTTCATTAAAAATATCTGCTTGCTCAACTAACTAAATGCCTCTTTTAACTCTGGTTTGTTCTCAAGCATTACCTGTAACCATCTTGTTTAAAGTTCATACAATTTTATTTTTTGTATTAATCTATAGTATATTATATGATTATTTTCTTATAGAGAAATTTTCTCTTTAATTTTATGTCTAATAATTTCAGAATAACATTTTCATGTCTTTTATATATCCTTTTTTAATTAAATTCTCATTATCCTAACCTTTGATTTCTAAACTAACCATCCTTTAAATCTTCTTGGTCTTGACTTGGCTATTAAACACATATGTTTACCCCTTTATTGGTGCCTAGCCTACTGTACTAGTCATAAAAAGTTTTAACTTAAACTTTGTTAACTGTATCTTTGTGAAACTTCTAGCCTCTATATTATTATTGTATGTTTCAATAGTATTTTATAAACGTCAATTTTGCAAGAGTATTTCTTTACCTCAGTAATTTTTGCTATAAGCTTTCTTGTTATCCATTATTAGCTCTAATATTTTCACTAATTTCCATGACAATATTTCTAAACAAACTTGTACCATTTTAACACAAATCAAGTTAGATTCAATTTTAAAAGTTTTTCTTGAGAGGCATCTTAGATATTTATTTACTTTTCACCTTTTAAATGTCATAATTTTATAAGCGAGTACGTGTTTTTTTAATTTTATTTTTATGGCTTTAAAATATACATTTTTAATAACTATTTTATGCTACAAAATTTAAATCTCAACACACACACACACACACACACATACATATATTTGTGCTACTAACATTCCATTTCTCGCTGTTGAATTTCTTTATTTTATTTTGGTGCTGCTTTGGATGGAGTGTGGATGGTTTGATTGTGAAAGGCTGTACACTTAAACATCAATTTAATTTATAGCCTTGTCTTTGTAGTTTCTTGAAACTGGACCAGAACTGGGAAACAACTATTCCGAAGTGATTGCACCTCAAGATGTCGCTACTTATGGTGGACTTTGTGCATTGGCTTCTTTTGACCGGACAGAACTGAAGGTATGAAATGTTATGTCTTGATTTTCTTATTGCATCCATCCAACCACTAAAAACGCTATGTCTGCTGAATCTCTTAAGAATAAAAAACTGGACTATTGTCCTTTATTGGCTTCTTCTGAGACTTAACTTTTTTTTTTCAAATTTAACAGAACAAAGTCATAGACAACATCAGCTTTCGAAATTTCTTAGAGTTGGTGCCTGAAGTTAGGGAACTTATTAATGACTTCTATGCAAGGTAGTAAGAGTAGGCTGAACCCTTTTTCTATCAGTTATTTTGATCATTTATGATGCTTTTTACCGGATTGAATTCTGTCTTGCAATTTTTACTCCACTTAACTAGTTTTTGGTAACTCCGAAGAGTATGATTACTAGTAATTTAATCAAACACATATTTTTACCACAGAGAGATGGAAATCACTCAGTCATTAGTTAGAAACTTCTCATGCTTCATGACAGAACCGCTGATTTGGACTTTTCCTATCGGATATTACAAATGTTTGATAAGATAGAGAATTATCTAATGCCTTTGCCATCAACACCTAAATTTTACCTTTTATATTCATACCAAATCTTTCATATGGCATCAAAATCTACTATTTAAAATTTTACAAAGTGAAATACACCTTTTCATTCATAGGCAAAGTGGCATATATGTAAAAACTGATTTTTAAGTGTTATATATATATATATATATTAAAAGGAATGGTCGGAGGCTATTATACGAGCCCTGACCATCCCTCATGCGCCTAATAATTCAAGTAACACACCCTACACTCGGGGGAAATTGAATCCCAGACCAGAGGGGACTTATATATATATATATATCTATATATATTAGAGTAGTGTAAATTGAACCAGAAAGTGGCATTTAGAGTATAGGTGCCAAATGGCACCGACTGGTTTGAATTTTAATTTAAACACATTAATAGTTAGCAATCACATCATGCATCTTATTATTTAATTGAAGGATAAAGATAACAGTGGCGATGATGATTTTATTTTTTCTTTTAAAATAATCTATTTAAGCTTTTTATTCCATAATTAATTAATTATTTTTTTTTTTAAAGATGTGTTGCATTTCAACTGTCACCTACTTGTGCTGATTTTGGATTCCATCGTGAATTCTTATAGTTGGCTAGTATTTTAGTTTGACTGGTAATTTAAGGTGGACACATGCTATTTGTTTGTAGAATTCTAAATGCAATCTTGAACCTAGTTTTTGAATTTACCATGAAACTAATGGATAGGTTGATTTCATAAAGCTTTTACCATTTTGCGGAACAATCTCAACATGACATTTTTTAAAATAAAATAAAAATGTTTTATTGTTCTTGTTCATTTTTCCTCTTCACATTTATGAGACTCTTTTTAGTCCACGTTAGCTTTTCAGATGCCACTCATGCGTGGATAGTCTATCTTTTTTTTTTTGTTAAAATAAAATATTGGACGACTTCCCTTTACTATCCAGCTCATCGATCCCCTCCCTTGCCCTACTTAGTATTTGTTCTTGATCTACAGATTGATTAATTATCATAAATCTCTTTCCATCATTTGTGTGCATCTAGCAGACGTATAATAGGAAGTGAGAAACAAAGAATTTCTAGTAAAATTAATCCCACTTTCTGGAGACCGGACGGATTTAAAGAACAGAAATATTAACTTCATTATTAGCATGGCCTATTAAGAATGATTGTGTTGAAATGGTCTCGTATATCTGCTGTACTTTTGAATACTACAGCATATACAATATGAAAGGAGCTATTAGGGCATGTCAGGCTTCAGTTTAATAAGAATTTGATACCTGTATTGATTCTTCTGTTTAAGTTTCAAAAGGATAGTAATAGGTTTAAATATTCTGACAAATGAGATGATAATCCTAAATTAGTTGTCCTGTAGTTAAATAGACCATTCATTACTGCATTTTCCTGACTTGTACATTTTCATTCGTTTTGATATCCTCTTAGTGTATCAATGTGTGTGATGCATTTTTGCTTTGTGGTCGTACAGATCCACATGCATAAAGTATGTTTGTATTTGTGTTAATATAAATGTATTTTGTACAAAGAAAGAGGGATCTACTTTTCTTGGCGTTGGAGAAGAATGACCATTCATCTTCCTTTTGAATTTTAATATTATACCTTTGAAATGTGAGATCTGATCCACCTATTCTTTTTTTTTTTAATTTCATTAAAAGTAGTGTCATGCATAATTCATCAACTCTGAACGAACATTCAAAATTTTCTCAATGGATTGCTCCAATTTTGTGAGAACGTAATTGTGCTTTGCAATATGTAGACATTTTAAACTGGCTTAGAATTAAGTACTAGACATATTAATAGTATTTAGTGTATTAGATGGTTAAGATTGCTGATTGCTGAATAAAATGAGCATTATTATATGGATGTCCATTTGCGTTTGATCTTATTTTTCTGGCATGCTTGATAAATAATTAAACTACTATGAAACTTGATGAATCTTGATCTATGAATAAATTTCATTTTATAATGACAATTTACAGCAGTGTGATCTTGAGTTTGAAGGCTATATAAAGTGGTAATGCAATATAGGAATTAAGTGCATGGTCACTCCCCTTATAGAGCACGAGTCTCACATATATATATATATATCCTGGCACCTCTGCTTATTTTATTTTTACCCAAGATGTATGTTTTTTTTATATCTTATATAATATCTACATGTTTTGTATCCTGTTAATACTTCATAGGCTCAATTAACATTGGCTTATGTTGCTCGCGTAATGTTCTTGAGAAATCCATATGCTAGAATGTTATGGGAAGAACTTGAGTGTCATGTAAAACATTTAAAATGCAATATTTTTTGGTGAATTCTATTGTATTTCTTTATTTAACAGTGCAACTTGGATCGTGTTTGATGGGTTTTGGCCCTACAAATTGTGTTTTGAGAATGTTTGATAGTATGGAACGAACCTAACCTAAATCAAGATGAGAATTGGATAAGTTCGACGTAGTTTGATTCTAGTTTGTTCTTACGTTCTCTGAACGGGACAACCTAGTTTGTCATTGAGATGTGTTCCAAATACATTGAAACGCAATGTTGATGATAAGAAGCTTGTTTTAATGACTGTCTTGGCCACATTAACGACTGCATAGAGAAAATATTTCATTATCGTGTAAACTGCATACGTTATAATTTTTCCCTTATTTAATCCTCTGAAGACTAAATATAATTTTAACAGATTTGCAGTTGCTGATATAAAGAAGACTGATTTGTATCCATGTTCATAGAGGTGTTTTTTTTAGGCACGACCATAATTTTATTTAGAATGACTATTTGTTTTTTTCCCCCATGTAAACCCTTTCAAATGCAGCACTCTTTTGTTGAAATCTATAGTAGTTTTATTTAAGAGTGCAACTTGGATCAGTTTTGATGGGCTTTGGCCGTACAAGTTGAATCTCTAGGATACCTAACTTAAAATTAGGATGAGAATTGAACAAGTTTGATTTAGTTTGATTCTAGTTTGATTAGGTCCTCCGAAAGGGACAACCTATTTTGAGATTGTGACGTGTTCTAAAAACAATGAAACTCAAAGTCATGAGAAGAAATTGCTTGTTTTACCACAGTATCTCATCCACATTTATGACCACAGAGAAAATATTTCATTATAGTTTAAGCTATATACATTATAGATACTTTTTATTTAATCCTCTAAAATTTGTGAGAAGGATGATAAATGACCAAGTAAAACCGTATCAATTTTTGAGTAGTTGATATAAAGAAGTCTTATTTGTATCCATGTTGATTGCAATATTTTTTTTTGGCACCACCATAATTTTATCCAGAATGACTACTTGACTTCTTTTCTCAGAACAATTTCGATTACATATTGACCATCACATTTTTGTATAACACTTGCGTTTGCCTACAAGACATCCCTACTTGACTTTGGCACCGTCGTACTTGCACAAAGAAGACAATATTGATTTTTCTTTTTATTTTTTTCTCCGCCTTTGCCTCCTTCCCTTTTGTTTTCCTCTTTTTATTTTTTCACCATTTGTTTGATCCCTCTATTTTCTTTGATTTTCAACCTATTGTAATTCTTCCGCCCTCTGCATCTCTCTCTCTCTTAATTTTTTTATTTTATAATTTTGCATGCAGCAGCCATCTCTCTCAATCGTCTATCTTTAATTTTGTAATTTTGACCCAAATATATGACTTTCTTTCTTTTCCAATGCATACAATAAATTTGAGTAATGGTGATGGAGGTGAAAAAAAAACCTGAAGAAATATTTTATTTGAGTTTAGTCTATAATACTAAAAGTAGCAATTTTGAACTTGTTTTTGTTCAAAAGCAAAAGTTATTTCATTTTAATTTATTTTTTTAGGATAGAATGGTGCCTCACAAGATTAACAATCTCCCATTTGTGGATCAAATTTTTTATATGCCAAATTATAGAAATTAACTCCGCGGCACTTCTCACTTATATATGGAGGATAACTAGGCTTTACAAAGCCTTAAGTTTGTTTGCTATGACCATCTCTGTAAGCTTGTCACCAAAATCCCTACATTTTGCTCCATATAAGACATTTTCTTCAAACTAACCTCAGATGAATTGAAACTCAACTTGAATGAAATGTTGTATTCTTGGTTTGATGTATAACATTTTATCACAAAAAAGAGCACAGTCATTGTATTTTTTCCTAATTCTTTCAAGAAATTTTTTAACCACACTATTTATTTGCAGGCCATAATAACCACAAGATGTTTAACTTCAATTTTTGATAACCGCCTACTAACTTTTATAACTGAGAATCAATTGATAGTCTTACCACCTTCAGTGTAAATATAGTTTGCAATACTTCTTCACTTATTTGAGTGAATCATCAAACAAATCAAGCCATCAACAATGCCTGCAATTTCATATAAACATTGCTAAATTGAAGTTAGATATGTTTAATTTTTTTTTTTTAAATAGTGCATAGTCCATTTTCATAGCCTTGCAGTGTATCTTTCCCAAATTTTGGATTTACCTTCATACCCCCTTTTGCATGAACTGTATATTAGGTACTATCTATACCATACATCAGCGAACCAAGTTGGAAGTATGATAAGCCTTGGCCATTTCTTCTAGCTCCTAATTTCACTCATAGTTTTTTTATTCCCTCATGACCAAAACCGCAAGCCCATGTTGCTACCTCAACACTTCAGTTATTCCTTGCTATTCTTTTCCCATGTTCCTGGGTCTGTTGAAAGTC